GAATTTACCCTAAAAAGGTTCATTTAATAATTGGAAAATTATGACCCGATAGCAATTGTTGATGTTGGGGCGCTTCATGTTTGAGCCATGCCATATGGATGAGGTGGAATTTCACGCGCCCCCGCGCGAGTCAAAAAGCAAGCGCTGGCTTTCGTTCCACCCCTTCTCAGGTGGTTTTATCTTGATTTTATTATCTATTTTGAAATATGTTTTTAAGTAAATGTGGACCTAATTTTTGGTATGAATGAGCATATTTGATTGATGGTTCACACTCCATGAGTTATTTGAAAATGGCTCAAAATGAACAATCCCAGCAAAAAAGTGGATAATTTCAGATCCCAAAGAAACCAGGCGTGTCCAAAAAAAAAAAATAGGATAATTATACGGATTTATCTTGATGTTCTTATTTATTTTAAGTTGTTTTTATAAATAAATATGGAATTTAGGTATAGGATAATTTTATATATTTATTTTGATTTTATTTTCTATATTTATTTTTTTAAATTATTTTTGTAAAAAAATATGGACCTTATACATATAATAATTATATTATTTTTACACCTGAATTGAATTAATTTCTCATTGACAGGAGGTAAATTTGAAAACCTCCAATATCTATTTTTACATTTATTGAATTTCAAGGATTTTTCAATAATTTGCAAGGAATAATATACCTTCTATAAATTTATATTACATATGTAAATAATAAAAAAATGTAAATTTTATTGAAAATAACAGGTAATTGAGGCCCTCTAGGGATACAGATTGTAATTATGATTTTATGTAATTCTGCAGCTATTTACAGACCTCCAGACTATTGTTTTTGCATTTTTTTCCATGTTCTTATATTTGTTTTCGTAAAATGTAATTTGCAATATTGGACGCACCCCCTGGAAAATAATTGCAAGTCGGTAAAATATGGGGGTACATAATTGTAATCTACGAACCTATCAAAATATAATTTTGCAATAAAGATGATGAAAAAAAATAATGTAAACATCATTTTCATAAATCCCCCCCCCAAAACAACGTCTTATTGTAAGCTTGCATTTTGAACGTCCCCCCTCCTTAAAAGGGTGGTAATTATATATATATTGTATATTAATAATAATATTATTTATTTTTTTTAATAATATTATTATTTAAA